CTCTCTCTCTCTCTCTCTCTCAAATAAATAAATAAATAAATAAGACAAGGAACACTTTGGTTTACTTAGATTACGTGGCTCTGCTCAGGCCAGGCAGAGTAAAGAAGTAACCATAGCAACAAGAGTAGCAACACACTCTCAAGACTTCTGTTCCTGACCTCTGGCAGCCTACAATGTCAGATGCAGACCACATAGCTGGTTAGGGCAAATATGAACCAGGTCTGCCTAAGTAAAAAACCCGGCCTGGCCTAGTCTTGTTTTGTTTTGAGACAGGGTCTCACTATGTAGTTCAGGCTGGCCTTGAACTCCTAGCCATCAATTCTCTGGCCTCAGCCTCCAGAATCCTGCGATTACAGGCGTGCACCACCACACCCAGCAGGAAATGCTTTCTGAATAGCCACTGCGCTGACCTCTGCTGGAAGGTTCTGTACAGTCACAAGCCCTAAATGGAAAGGGCGGGGTGCGCGCTTGCAGACCCCAACCCTCCCTGCTGCCCCCACGCGTCCATCCCTAGTACCTGCTGGCTGCTGCAGCTGGCCTTGCAGACGTAGCAGAAGTAGTGAAGGCCCTGCTTAGAAGGCGTGCTGGCGGCTGCGGGGGTGGCAGAGGAAGAGTCGCTGGGACGGGGCCCAGGTGTGAGGGGCGTGGTGTTAAAGGCCCGACTGTCACTGCTCTGCAGGATGGTGACCTTCAGGGAGCCCCCGGCACCCCACATCTGCACCAGGAGCGGGAGCAGAGCTTCTGCTATCTGGGTGCTTCTGGACAGCAAGCCCCAGGGTGCACACCTACGAGCGCTGCTCTACCACAGCCTCCTGGCAGAGGGGATCTGAGGCTCGGGCTATGACATGACTGCCCAAGCTGCAGCTAGACTGCGAAGCCAGGCATGCCAAACTGTAAAATCTGCCCCAGGCCTCCTGTCACATGATGGGAAGGGGCGTGCCCCAGGCAGGGACCTACACCTAAGAGCTTTCATTCTTCATTCTTCCCACCTGAGAGCTGTCCCCAGGGTAAGGGGACTGAGACCTCTTGCTCTTGCTGTAAAGGGCTCTTTTGTTTGTTTTCCTGAGTCACGGTCTCACTCTGTAACACAAGCCTCCCTCCAATTCCCTCGGGTCCTCCCGCCTCAGCCTCCCGAGTGCTGGGACTGGCATACACCCCCAAGCCCTGCCATGGAAGGAACTCCTGTCACCGAAAGCATCCTAGATCTTCAGAGCAAAGGCATGGGAAGGCAACACTACTGTGTGGGCTTCCATGCGGCTGGTCTACATCAAACTCAGTGCGGAAACACGAGGAGACGCCAGCTGGCCTGAGGCAGACAGAGGACACCCTGCTGCTGGGTCCTGGAACCCAAAGTGACTGCACTCGCGCTGCTACCCACCCCAAGCATCTCTCGTGCTCTTTTTTCACATTCGCCCGCGTGCAGACCACTGGCTGGTGACTCCTGGCTCGCTGCCACCCTGACCTGGGCCCCCAGCGGCTCTGGCAAGGCCTCCTCCGTGCCTGAAATGACAGGTAGGGTCCCTTTCTCAGAGTCCATTTGTCACCACAGGTTCTGGAAGACCTGGGCCAAGAGCTGTCTTGTCCACCCACAGGTAAGACCTCGAAGTCCCAGACGTGGACAGCCATAGACCTGGGCTCCAGGCCCAGGCCTCAGCCTCTGGCGGCACCCAGCCCAGACTGGACAGTACCAGAGGAGGAAACCAGCCGGGAGGCAACACTCACTCACCTCCCCCAGTCTCCGCTATGATGCTGGGTGGCGTTCCCAGCACCATGGCATCCATAGCAACTGGTGCTCGCTCTAGGGCAGACATCAACCCTTGTGGCTGCGGCTCAGACTGGCTCTGGGTCTGCTCCGGTGACTGTACGGGCACCTGGGCAGAAGGCTGCTCTGAGGGCTGCTCCTGAGTCTGGCCCCTTGGCTGGCCCTGGTCAGGCACCTGTGGATACGTCTGCGTCTGGGCCTGCTTCTGCAGCTGCGGCTGCCCGTGCTCCAGCGGTCGGGCATGGCCCTGTGACTGCATCTGCTTCTGCTGCTCTGCCTCCTTCTGCTGTGGAACTAAGTGCTCTGGGGAGGTCTGTGTTTGTGCTTGCTTCTGCAGTTTCCGCGGCACCTGGGCTTCCACAGGTGGCATCTGTAGGAGAGTCTGCGGCTGCACCTGAGGCTGGATCTGCTGGACCCGAGGCTGGACCCGAGGGAGCACTCGGGCTCCCACTGGCTCCGGCAGCAGTTCTGGTGTCTGGGTCTGCTTGGGCACTGTCACCGGGGCCCGAGGCTGTGCCTTCACCTGTGGCGGTCCTGGAGGTCCCTTCTCCATGGGCATCTCTGAGCTATGAGGGACCAAAAAAAGATCAAACTCACATCTGCCAAGATGCCCCAGAAAGGCTAAGACACAGTTCCTAATCCCAGCTCTGCCACTAACAGGCAGAGGATTGGGGCATCTCAATGGCTTTCTGGGCTATGATCATTAATCTGACGAATCAACTTGTCTGGATTAAGAAACACCTTGAAAATAAATAAATAAACAGGGAGAAAAAAACCCTTGGAAGATTAGTAAAGCACACCTCAGGCCGCGTCTGGGTGTGCCAGGGACACGTGACCCTAGGGACTATGTTATCAATGGCCCCCAAAACTTTTGGCATCAAGGACCAGGGTCATGGGAGACAGATTTTCCACGGGCCAAGGGTAGTGGTGAAGAACGGTTTCCGGATGACTGAAGCCCAGTCCATGTGTTGTGCGCTTCATTTCTCATCACACCGTGGCCTTTATTGCTATTATTGTTACACTGGCTTCTCACAAGCGTGCGGGACCCAGGTCCCTCGAATGCACGGCTCACGGCAGGGTGCGCACTCCTGGGGAATCTAAGGTTGCGACTGATCCGCAGGAGGTGGAGCTCAAGTGGAAGTGCCTGTAAACGCAGATGACCTGGCCTCGTTCCTAACAGGTCATGTATACACTGGCACCAGTCTGCAGCCCAGAGTTTGCAGACCTCCACTATACGTGGCCCCTGGATCCTTCAGCTCTGGTGCTAGTTCCAAGTTCCATTTCCTGGCTGCTGAGTTGGGTGACTTTGCCCCCCTGTACCCCTCTGCCATGCTGTTTCTGCCCTAGAGCCTGCCAACTATGGACTGAATCCTCTGAAACAGCGAACCTAAACCTCTCTTTAAAATTATGGGCAAAAGGGCCAGCCAAATAGCTCAGCAGATTAAAGCACCTGCCAGCAGGCGCAGGGGCCGGGGTTCGATCCCCGGCCAAAAAAAAAAAAAAAAAAAAAAAATCAAGAGCCTTCTGTCTCTCTCAAATTGGGGTGGGCCACCCTGCGCATGGCTATATTCTCTGGGCCAGAAAAAAAAAAAAAAAAGAAAAAAAATTATGGGCAAAAGATGTGGTATTTTTATACAATGGAGTATTACTCAGCTATAAAAGATGATACACTCGAAGCCTTCATATTTAAGTGGATGCCACTTGAAGATATACTTATAAGTGAAATAAACCAGACCCACATGTGTAAATATCGTATAGTCTCCCTAGTGTAAGAACTCAAAAGAGGTACTACATATAGAAAGTTACAACACAAATAAAAGGAAAGTGAGAACTTGAGGATTGGACAATGAGGAGTGGGCAAGGAGAAAAGCTGGGAAACATAACAGGGGTAAAGCCACACAATTGTACACATGAGATGGGTGGGCCAGTGACCCTGGGGGACATCAGCAGGTTTTTGAGACTAGCGGTTGGCTGGTGAGACTCTCACCCTGACTAACTGTATATGCTGGTGCCCGTGAGCCAGGCGGCTGCACTGAGGATGGCGATGTGTAGTAGAGGGGTCACGCTTGGAGTGCCTGCCATCCTGGTCTTCTAAATATGTACTTCTTGTCACGACATCCCATTTATTGCCATGATGTTTCAAGTAAAGAAGTTTTTTTTTCTTTAACAAAAGGGTAATAGATGAAAAAAAAAAAAAAAAAAAAAAAAAAAAAAAAAAAATAAAAAAAAAAGCCACAGGTCTGTCCTGTTACAATTCTGTATATGTTTAGATTTCTAAATTTCTTTGTAAAAATAAGTAAATGCTTATTTCTAGTTTTTTTTTAATTATTTTTCCTTCATATTCTGTAAGGACTTAAAGTTCCACATATCAACATTTGATGGAAAATACCTGTTCCATGATATGCCAAAGATGTTTGATATTTAGACAGACAGGGTAAACCGAACTGCATATATTGCAGGTTAATAATAAGCTTCTCTTCTGGAGGGTTAACAACCTAAGTTAGCAGATCAAAATTGGAGAAAAGGAAGGGCTGCAAGGTCAGCCAACATTTTGGCCCTCGCCTTTCCAGGTCAGTGAAGACTCGGGACATAGGAGAACCTGTACTGTGACAACATGTAACTCAGCTGTGCTCCAAATGTTCTGATCAAGGAGATTATGGAACCACAGAGGAATGTGATCGATGATGTATAGTGTGCCTGGGGAGAGTCACATAGAGAGAGAAAACATTCTCTCAGGCTTTCACAGAGAGCAAATTGGTCAAGCAATGGCCGTGACTCATCCTCATGGCTGACACTGACACAGGATCTACAAAGTGCGGTACAGGGCTACAGGATAAATCCTGAGAGTACTTGGCTGACCTTATCAGATACAAAAGTTACATTTCTGGGTATATATGTCTTGCTATATCTTGGTCTTAACCATCCAGGAGAAAAGTATAAAAACGAGGTATATAAAGTAAAGCCAAACTAATATGATGATCTGTAAAAGGCTCAAGTCAATAATGTCTGAGGATAACCCACTAATAGTATAGACTGCTGGACAGTGTTGGATTGTTTAGCTGAATTCAAACACCTATAGTATTTAGATGCCAATAGAATACCCACCTTTGACAAGACTAAACAAAAAAAAAGGGGATATGAAGGAAAGATCATTTTGTAAAATTATATATACAAAATAGTTAGGATAGATATACAGCTACTTTCACTTAATTCAATGAGAAGAAAGAGGCGTACTAATAGTGTTTGGACAGGATATCCTGTCTGCTTCTTGTACTACAGATAACCATTAAGAAGGTAACAACGTACAATGTATTGATTATCGAAACTGCCCTCTTAATCAGCTTTGAAACTGTCTCATTCATATTTCTCAATAATTTTTTTTAAAAATCACAAAAAAATAAAATAAAATTATGGGCATCAGTTATTGTATGCCGATGATGGAGAACTCACTAACAGAGAAAACAGGTATCACAAGTGGGACTGTTGCTCTAACTATATCTATTTGATTAAGAAGCTTCTGGAATTTGCTTATTGGAAGTTTGGAGAATCAAGGAAGGGAAACCCTACTAAAAAGAGCTTGGTGGGTGATTCTGGTGGGGCCAGAAAACTAGAATGCTGATAGATTGGTTAGTAAGGGCCAGGCTCAGGAAGTCTTAGATGGGAACAAGGACTCTATTAGGAAATGGACTTGCACCCATGCATGTTACATTCTGGCAAACATGTCTTCATTTTGTCCATGTCCTAAAATGGTATAAGGCTCAATTTAAAGGTGGCAGACTATTTAATTCAGTGAAAGAAATTGCAAGACAGTTCAACATTCAGGCTGTGGCATGGACACTAACTCAAATTTATAGTGAGAATTGAGGGCAAAACCAGAGCAAAATATTTTGAGAAACTTAAATTTTGGCTCAGAAGAAACCATGTGTAAAGCTGGGGCCAAAGGAGTTATGGATGCTAAAGAAACTAATGCCACAAAAAGAAAACAAGTACTTTGAACAGGAACAAGAAGGAAGATGCCATAAGGGCCTCTCAGAAATCAGCAAGACCCTACCCATCACAGGCTCACATGTGCAAAAGTATAGACCTTTTGGCCTGGGGCTGTAGCTCAGTGGTAGAGTACTTGCCTAGCATGCACAAGGCTGCAAGTTCAATCCCCAGTACCACAAAAAAGAAAAAAAAAAAAAGAAATTGTTTGGCGGGAAGAGGGGGTGGGGCAAAAAAGTATAGACCTTTAATTTGAGAAGTGCTCCGGGCCATCTAGGGAACTGATCTGTGACTCATTTCACTGCACTCAGTCATGCAGGCACTCAGAGACCGCTGCTGCCATGGTCCCAAGGGGCCTGGCTACTGCCTGCACTGGTGGCAGGCCTTAGCATCATCTATGCGGTACCAGTCTTACATACTGAGAATGAATACGTTGTGGGGTCAGGGAGATTCCCTACTCAGATATCAAACAGAGGCCTCAGAGGGACAATGTGGCCCTGAGGGGGCAATGCATGAAGGTATGAAAGTGCGGCAGAGACCCAAGGAAGTCAGAGCTGCCCCAGAAACACAGAACCTCTGCAGGCTTGAGTAGGGGCTCCCCAAGAGAGGGGCCATGTGGGCTGCAATCATCAAAGCCACAGGAATCAGGCTGCCCAAGGCCTTTGGGGCTCACATCTCAGCACGGCCCGCCCTGATGCCTGATTGGAGGTCCAGGATTTAATG